CTGGCTTCAGCGGGATGTGTTTATCTGTGGAGGGGAGATCCCCATCACAACCACTTATTAGGACATATATGTGGGCTTAACCAGGCAGCCATTCAACAGCAATAAGGGGCTTGCTTACTGACCACAGTGTGCTGGGACTGGGACCAGTCTAACCAACACTAGAGCAATGGAGAGGAAAAGCGAGACGGGAAGGAAATAACAAATACACATGGAGACAGAGAGAAAAAAAACATAGAAAAAAAAAGAGATGGGGGGTAAAAAGAAAGGCAAAAGCTGAGAAAGAGTGGAAAGTGATGGATGGGGGTATGAAAAAGAGTTATTTAGACAGATACATTTATTGTAGCCAAAAAGAAAAAGTGCGTAAGAGCAACTTGATAGGGGAAACATATGATATTGCAAAAGGAAATAACAAAAATAGTAACAGCCAGCTACATTAAACATCAAAAAATTCATTAAAAAAGACAAAAAGGTTAATAAGCAGTTAAGTGATGAGGGTATACCAACTGTCAAAGACGTAGAGTGGGTTCTTAACACCAGAAACAAGCATGGGATGAGGACAGAAAGTAGAGAGAAAAACAGGGACTGGACAAAATTTGCTAGACTAACACATACTTTGGAAAGTGTAAGAGAAAAAGACACAGTAGGAGGGAGGGAAATAGACAGAGTCCATTGATACAGCCACATCATGTTGACTTGGCTCTGCATCACCACTGACACAGCAGACGTGTCTGCCGTTACCATAGAAACACAGGCATGTGCACTAATCAAAACAAAAAAACAAAAACCATATTTTGCGGCAGCGGGATGCTCCCTGAGTCTCCCTTGGACAGACCATGAGGTAACTGAGTATGTGATGGAATCTAGAGCTGTGTCATCTAGGTGTGGGGATGTCGGGAAATGTGCAGGATATTTTAGGACATACAAACACACACACACACACACACACACACACACACACACGTAGAAACATGTGCAGACACATGGATGCAAGCAGGCACACAGAGAGGAACAAACATGCAAGTTGGTTAAGTTAGTCTTTCATCATTTAGACTTTCCCTGGATAGTAATTATTCAACTGAGATTTTTTTTCCTTTACAAAAGGGTTGCTCGGATAATACCAATAGCAACTGTTAGGCGTTAGTCGTCTTCTTAACACTGATAGATTAAAAGGGCTCCCTCATCAATTCAAACTCCCTCTTTATTCTAACACCAAACACTGAGTTGTAATCAAGAGCAGAAATAAAAGGCTGTTGTAAAAATCACTAACAAGTGTATAATAGGGACATCTAAAAGAAAATCAAGATATGTGTGTATGGTATGGTAACTATGAAAAATATAGAGACATAAAGGAGCTTTAGTTGCATTTAATATAAATAAACATTTCATGTATTCATATATTTAATTTGTTTTAAAGTATATAAAAACCTTCAACTACAAATTAAGGCAACCAAAAATATTTGGTTCATCACTTACTGTTAATGACAATTAGCTAATTATCAGTTATTTCAAAGTCACTTAAATCTTATCAGTTAATATGTGTCATGTCATCAAAAGTTACTGACGTTAATAAAAGGTCAATATTAGATACGAACTTACATTTTGTTTTAACCCTCAAACCTAGACATTTTAACACGCGTCTCTATGCCCTTTCAAAGGGACGCTCAATCTATACATGCTGGTTGACAGAGTGGTCCCCATTCTCCCCAACATACAAGAAGCTTTCAATTAAGTGTTCCATAAGTGAAAAAAAAAAAAAAAATCACACTGGAAAAAGGAGAAAAACAGAGAGAATGAGAGAAAAGGGGAGTAAAAGATCTGTGAGATTTTACAGAGGGCCCAAACCACAAGAAAGTCAGGGCTGAATGCATGCTGGACATTCCCCGGGCCGGCGCTCATGTACTCGGAAAAAGCCCGCTTTTTCAAGACAGGAAAATGATTTCAGCTGTGTAAATTGACAGCGGCCTTGTAGCTGAAGATGGAGAGGGAGAAGGAGGGGAAGCCTGTAGCTGTGTGTCATAATTCCTGCTTAGTGAAGAAGCCGCTGGGGAGCTACTCTTTCAGGGAAACAAAATTTAACATCATATGTTATATGTCATATGTTATATGATCAAATGAAATGGTGTTAATTGTTACCAAATGAACCTGGTGGTGGATATCGACTTGGCCTTACAGTTTTACAGTCAAACAGGTTTATTTTACCTTCTTTGAGGAAATCTTCTGACTCTAAATGGCAAATACACAATGTGCCCTGAAATTGTTGAGGCTGAAAGGAAAGCTGGTGAGCTTTGAAGTGTGTCAGAGACAGTGTTAGTGTAACGGCATCAAGACATGCTACGTCAGGATGTTTACACATGTTCGCTATTTTAGCCTTCACTCTCGTCTTCTCTCACAGGGTGGCATTACAGTAAATCCTGGTTTTAGACATTGTGAGGCAATCATTTCATGTACAGTAGACAATAACAGCATGGCTGCTTAGATCAGTCATTCAATTATGACAACGGATGTAATTAGTGGTGGACTTTAAACAGAAAAGCAGCAAATGGCTACCGGCACTCACAGACATATTTCTTCCTATAGCCTCAGTTGGTTATAGATTGTAAACACACATCGGTTTGCATGATTACAGACTCTCACTTTGACTTTCTCTATACAACTTGGGGGAGCACATGCAGTAGGATTCAGCACAGATAAAGTGCATAACGGTGCCTGGTAATGGTATGTCAACAAGGCCCTGATCTCAGGGTTATCAATCATGTGACTCAGAAAGAAGTGTGATCATCCTAAATTGGAGGGCAGATGTGAACAGGGAAGGTGGTGAGGATAATGCATGGTTAGAAATGGATGAATGAACACAGAGAGTGGTTTGGTATAATTCCTGGGTTTCACTGCAGAGAGGGAAGTGGTGACTCTTGGCTTCTGTGTGTAGAGGTTAAGGGGGTGAGTGAATGTAGGTGTGTTTGTACACATGGCCATGCCTGCTGCTAGTGTTTGTGACAAAGTATTGTATATGTGTATTTTTGTGTGCATAGGTGCAGTGTGTGCTTGTGCTCACTGCACATTTGGGTGTGAATGCATGACTGAGTGTAGGGAAGTTAATTGTCTTTGTGAGTGCATGTGTTCCCGACTGTGTATGTTGAATGACTATGTGCGTGTGGAGGGCAACATGGTAGCGTGTGTGTGTTAAGGCCAGGGTGGAGCGTCGTGCGAGTCAATCCATGTCTATGAGCAGATGTGGGCACCACAGCCACAGAACCACCAATCCTCTAACTACCACAGGCAGAACATTACTGGCCAATATGGGGTAAAATTGCATGGCTGGTCTAACTGGTTTTTGGGGCGAAAGTCTGAGAAAAACTCCAGATTATTTTCCATGCCCACAAGATCATCATTTATCATCTGACATGATAACAACATGGCCAACATGTCAACAAAATAAATCCAGGCACAGTTTCCATGGAAACAGAGTAGTTACTACCCATTAGCTGTACTAACTTGAACCAAACAAAGAGCAAACATTTTAGCACGGTACACTGTGTGGAACTCGTGGGATGAAAAAAAAATACCCCCCAAAAGTCCCTGCAAAACAGTAGCTATGGTTACTGATCAATACCATCTTTGCTCCAATACATCAAACAAGTAAATGAAAGACTGTGAGGGAGATAGGTTGGGTACTCTGGAAGAAATTTAGACAATGTTGGACAGAGTGTGGTATTCCCCTCCATTTTGCCTTGATGGTTACAGATTGTCAGACATGCCCAAGGGCCTAGACCCCCTCTGCCTCCCTGCTCCATGTAATCTCCCTACGTATGACACTTCCACCAACTGAAAGCAGCAATGAAGCCTAAAGTGGCCTCTCCTCTACTTTTGTTGTCCACCTTTTTTTTTCCTCTCCACTCCACGTCTTGTGTCAGCTCACATCTCACTTGCAGCTGCACAAAGCATTTGGCACCACTTTTATCTCCCTCATTACATGTGTTTGCCAGCTCCATATCTGCCCATTCACACAACTTCTCTCTCTCTCTCTCTCTCTCTCTCTCTCTCTCTCTCTCTCTCTCTCTCTCTCTCTCTCTCTCTCACACACACGCTGTGGGGCTGCGGTTTTGGGCAGCTATGACACAATCCAGATTCTTTTAGCTGCCTTTAGCGGGGAAATGTGTTTTGCGCAGAGCTATTTCCCTCAGAAGTCCAGATTTTCCCTGCCTAGTTGCTTTGATCCGCATGGCACGGGGGGCTTGTGTCAACAGTCTTGTGTTTCAGCTGGAGGGCCCGGCGGACCCCCAAGGTGTCACTCATTTCTCTCTGTCATTGCTGGGGCAGCTTAACCACTATGTGGCGCTGTCACTCGCTGCTCCTTAAAAACCTCCCATGAGACAGCAAACATCATGCGGACACAGAAGTGCACCCATGCACAGCCTGAACACACACACGCAGACACCAAAAACAATTGCCTCACAACAGGTTATATGGAGTGTGCCTTGAGGTCAGACAAATTTGATTGGCATCTTTAATGAACTGTAGTCAAATAACAAGCTTTGTGGTGATCTGTTACTACCAGTGGTGTCTGTTTTCAGAGAAGAATGTGATAAAGCTGTGTGAGTGTGATGAGATGTAATAACAACAGAGGTGTCAGAGCTGAAAATTAAATTGTGTAAAAGAGAAAGAGGGAGACTGTGAGGTAGACTCAGTGATAAGTATCTTGCACATTATCTCAAAATGGAAAAACTGTGGATGAACATAGGGCATTGGTAAACAGTAGAGAAGGGAAAACAGCAACAGTTTAAACAAAGACTGTCCATTTGTAATCAACATGCTGTTAGAGGGATGTTATTAGGCATTGGAGAAGTAGTTTATTTTTCAGCATACATTTAAACATGCACTGATTTGCTAAACTGCGTCACTGATATGTTTATATCCTATTTGAATTTTATACTTTAATGAATAAATGGCACAATAAGATCAATTCAGCAGAGACATTGTAGTGAGAAGAGAGTTTGTCTTACTGGTAGATGTCTTTTCGCAGCACAGTGCGTGTCAGTGGGTTATCAGCCTGAGGAGCCATGCTGAGGGAACCCAGCTTTAAAACCAGGGTGTCTTCTTTTTTCACTTGGGGATCTAGTGGGACACGCACAGACACACAATCACATACACTGAATACAGACAGAGTTACATATTGTATATATGTGTGTACACTGTAAAGAGACAATATATTTATCCTCCGTGCACAGTTTTATGAATGATTAAACAAACGTGAATACACACACACACACACACACGCAAAAACTGTGGGACATAAAAACAGTTCAAACACATAAAAACAGTGTCTTACAGAGCCTTACCACTATTAGTCATTACTACCAACAGACAAAACAAGCCATGACATTCTGACAAAGATTCTATATTGTGTAGGAGTGTATATAACTGTGGTTGGTTCTTCAGAACCTCAACTATTTCTCTTAGCAAACGTCTAATGTGGCGGCTCTGCTATGTCTGCTCAGCCATGACAGAGACTTTGATGAAGTCACCGCAGACCTGAAGAATCTTAAACACAGCCCGTGACTTATACTGTCCCCATTGTTGTTTTCCATGCGAAAACATAAATGTGCATTCAAAAGTGTCGAGCAGTTCTCCAACCTGATGCTGTATGTTTGTCCTGTGCCCCAGGGCAGAAGACCCTGATCACACTGGTGTTGATGTACATGAGAGGCAAATTTCGAGAGGTCAGAGTGTGGCTTCTCATTGGTTGACCTGCTGACTTCCCACGCTCTCTGTACCGTCTTGGTACTGTAGCCTAAAAGACATTAAATTAAACATGTAAATAATAAATTAATGAGATCTAAAACAAAGGTTTTGTTGTTTTAATGGCTAATTCAAATGACAAAGAAGTAAATAAATCCTTATCGTGGAGTAGTCGATCAAGTAGCTTGAAATGTGTATGAGTTTAAAGTAAAATTGTACAAATTTTAGTTTAACTTTAAGGCTGTTAACTGGTACAATGTATTGTACCAGTTGTACAATGTATTTCTTTTATTAATTCATTGTGAATTCTCAGTTCCTTTGACTACCGTATATTTCCAGCTTTTGCAAAAAAACTGCAACATGATCTACAACTGCTTTCAATAGGCACATTTTTTCATGCAAGCTTAAAATAAAAAATATATAAATACTTTGTTATTGATTTCCCAAATGGGTCAAGCCTTGACATACTACACAGTTATAGAAACTGACAGACACTTTTTTTCTACCTGGAAAACCCCTGCCACAGTCGCCAATAAGGGACAGGACAGCACCACATCAAAGGGCTGGGCTGTCAGCAGGATTTCTCTCAGGTACTGAGGAGAGCTGTCTGCCAGAGGATCAGCGGTCAACCGCTGGCTGGAGGTGGTAGCACTGCTGCGTGTTGGCCGCTCAGGACGGGTGGTGAGCTTATGACGGACATTTTTGGTGACAGCTTGAGTGTATGTGATCGACAGGAAGCCGTGCTGCTGGTGAGAGCCCTCCAGGACCTTGGCTGCCGTCTGGCCAGTGGTCAGACAGGACAAATCACAATGATGATAGTCATCATTACACAGAGCAACAGCAGACAGAAACTTTAACTGTTCAGTGCTATGTTGGTCTGATTTCTTGGCTGAGGGTTAAGTCTGGCTAAGCATGACATATTTCTAGATTTTACGATTCAAATACATTTTTGTGCAAAATTTCTCCTGTTAAATGACGAATCTAGAATCTTGATCAAGAAACTGAAATCAGAGCTTTCACCTTCAACAATTCATTATTTAGCAAAAAAGACTTAACATCAGCCAAAAAAACAGACCTCTGTGCTCTAATAAACAATTCTAAAAAAGCAAAGCTGAAGCTACAAACTATAAAGGCTTCTAGCTAGAGCAAATGTATTTATATTCTGTGCAGTAATTTAGACTGGATCAGCCAACTTTATGATATACACAAATTATTTTAAAACCAATTAATGACTGCGGCTGAATTCTGAGGCTGAATTATTTCTGATTTATCAGAAAAGCCAGCTTTCCAATCTTGTGTGTTATTTGCAAAGCAAACACAGGGTGAAAATCACTTAAATAGCCATTAACTAAAAGAAAATAATCTCCAACTGTTGCATGATTAAAAGAAACAAAGATCTGTTTAAGACATCAGGGTAAGTCTGCAAAAACATCCAGTAACAGTGGACTTAACAGGTGTTAAAATTATCGATTAACTGAAAATGTCTAACAAGTTAAGAGTACATTCCTCAGAGTGAAAGTGTTTTATATAACTAATTATAGGGTTTTTTCCATTTGCTGTATTATGTGATTGATTTTATTAATTTGTGATTTTTACCATGACAACAGTTTAGAACTAGTGGAAAATTTCAAAGCAACTTAATGACTGTTTAAATCCAAATTAAAGCACTGCCATCTGAAACCTCTCTGAGGAGCCAACACAACTCTTTAAAGCCACTGTTAATGGTGGTTAAGCAGAGTCAACTAAAAAGGAGAAGAGCTGGATTCTTACAGGAGGGAAAAAGCCAGAAAAGTGGCTGAAAGATTCTTGCTTGCTGACGGGTCGAACCAACACAGTGCGTCTGTTCAGCTTGTCAGTGCAAGAAAGGACCACTCCTCCACAGCTGCCCGAGCTCCGCACACCCTCCTCCGTACTGGAGGTGAGGAGAGGGAAGGAGGAGAGAGAGAAAGGAGATGCCGAAGGGGACAGATAAGGCAAGAAGTCACAGGGAGGGGGCAAAGAAGGTGTTTGCATATATACAGATAGAGAAGGGTAGGAAAAAATAAAACAGGGAAGAAAAGACAGGAAAGCATGAAACCTTAAGATAATTTTGAAAAAATCAAATAAAGAGTAAACCGATTAAAACCAAAGGAAGTTGCACCAGTTTGAACCAGCTGACATATTGTGGAATGGTCTTATACTATCCAGTAATAGGAACATGGGAAAAAAATGTTTACTATCGTGATGAGCAGTTGTTGAATGGAAAAGTGTAATTTACAGACATTTAAAATCCCTGACCTGTACACAAGATAAATGCTGATAAATTACAAATCTTATCATTACATCAAGTCTACCTTTACTTCTTAACTAACGTAATTTCTGCTCTATACAACACATTTTCATGTTTTAGGTACCAGTATAAGACCATTACCAGAAAAAGTTTTGATCAACAAGAATATGGAGGCCCATATCCAAGTCACCTCCCACACACACAAACACACAGAAGAACAGTTGTCACCAAATTTCATTGACTTGATTATTTAGCCAATCAGAGCCACTGGAGAGACAGGGGAATGAAATTCTGGAAATGGAATTAATTTATTTATTCTGTTTTCATGAAAATTTTAAGGTGTAACAAATTCTTAGATTTATGGACACCCTGCATTATAGCCAAAAACAATCTTTTTCCTTATGACTTCCTTTATATTCCTGTCTGTCCAGCATGAGCAGAGATGTGTGACCTTGATTAGGAGCAGCAGGATGGCAGAGGCACATTATATAAAGGCCTAAGGCTGCTATGTCTGGTTTGGGACAGGCAGAAGCCTCACCACAGCTGTCTCCTTGCACTGCAGAATGAGTCCTTCATAGTGGCCAGAGTGTAAGCCCTGCCCTGGCCTGGAGAGACACACAAGGCCAAGCTTAACTTGGGCATCTGGGATTACTCATGCTGTTGTGGCAGGGACTGATAATATCTCTTTAATGGCAACAGTACTTACAAAACTACATTTAGATAATTGCACCACAGGCTGATAGTAACATTTTTATCCAACTTGCAGCAGCAGAGGCTTCGATGCAGGTAAATTATGTATGGAAAATTACAATTCCTTGAATTTCATACAGTTCTTGGAAATAGTAATACTTATATAATATACTTATATAAACATGAATAATGTGATGCCAAAATTATTTAAGCATTTTTGTAGTGGCCATCGATAAGAAGCAGAGAGCACCTGTAAAGCAGACATCAAAAGAAGTTAACATGAAGACAGACACAACAATCATCACTCTCAATTTGAAGCACAACATAAACACTAAATCTACAGTATTTAAAAAACACAGAAGCATGCACAGCCTTATTGCAGTTACTCTCGGATGCCAAATCATGCACAACACATGTATGGCAAAATGTTTCACACAATGGAAATGGTTCAACACCATCTGCATCATATCTTTTACGCCATCCTCAGCATGCCCCCACCAGATTACTGGGAGCTCATTGAGAGAAGAGTAGATCTACTGGTGAGTGTGTATGTGTGTGCGTGCGTTTCATGCATAGTTATCTTGTGTGTGTGTGTGTGTGTGTGTGTGTGTGTGTGTGTGTGTGTGTGTCAGTTCTTCCTGTGTGTGCGCCTGTGTGAATATCTCTTTGTAATCTCCCCTCTCAGCTGTAAGAGTGACTAATACATATGGACCCCCCACAGCTCTTCATTTCTCCCATCATCCCTCTCTTTTCTCGCTCTCCGCTCCCATCCAGTCAGCCTTCGCTCCAAGCCATTTGCGGAACAGCTGGAAGACATCAGCTCCAATTTGTGTGAGCTGCTCCTTGGAGTGAATAAGGGTGAACTGTCACCGGTCGTCCCCTCTCGAGGGGCATCTCTGCGTTTCAGAACAGTTCCAGGAGCACCGTTGCTATGGGAGATCTAGCTAAAATAAGAAAAGAAGCAGCTTACTAATTTCTAAACTTCCCTCTGACCAGGAGATGCCCCCCTACAGCGTTTCATACCCAATCACCCCATCAACTCCTTGCTTCTATGTTTCCCTTTAATTTACTTCTGCTCCAGGATTAGTGAGCCTGACACCTACAGGGTTCAACGACCACCTATTTCAGATTCCTTGGAGACTCTCTCTGTCATATTCCTTCCCTCTTTCACACTTTTTTGTCCTCCTCTTATTTTGATACAATCAGGGATTCAATTATATATTCACCTCGCATATTTGCCTGCCCTATCTAACTTTCCATTCATTTTCCAGCAGTGAGATAGCTAAGGCCAGATGAGACATTTTCTCTGTCAAGCTTGATTTAATCTGACCTACTGCACACAAATAACCTGGGCTGGGTGATGAAATAGCTAACAATTATCTGTTCAGAATGATTAATATGGACTCCAACCCCTGTGGGCTCTCTTGTATATGTGGATGATACAGATTAGAGTGGGCCAGGAGCCCAGAGGTCCTCCACTGTGTCCTAAACAGCCATGACTATAACCTGGCTTGGAAGATGGAGTGCTTCTGCATGCCAGAACTTTGGTCGGTTAAAAGTGTGTTGAGACCATGTTGTTAAAAGCACATTAAACTGAAATAACCTAGAAATGAGAAAATTGACCCATTATCTACTTAGGAAGGCATAGAGGTCTACTAAAGAGATTAAGGTTGGCTCCGTCTCAGAAGCAATTGGACACACACCTGTGGAGAGCAGAGCAGTATGATATAATGACCCACGACACCTTTACGCTCTAAAACTGTCTAACCACTGACACTGTCCTGGCTTAGGTTGATACTCCATACTGTATGCAACACATGTGGCCTGACAGAATATAAATCAACTAACTGCAGCCAAACAGGGAGGTCTGCAAGTTGCTTGCTAGACGGTTAGATTCAAAGGCAAGACAATCACCTCGCTCCCATTCTGACCTGTCCTCACATGCTGAGGACACGGCTGAGGTGATTTTCAAATCTGGCAAATCAGAATCCATATCTATTATCATATCAGTGGTGAGAGCACTGATTGCTAATGATGGGGTTCAATATGGGCACAGGGCCCAGAAAGGCCTATCTCCCTTTCACTGCCTGGCTCAATCAGAGAAGAAGGCACTTTGAGGAACATATCTATTCAGGCACGTAGGCACACAGACCTGAAAACACACACAAACACACTGTGCTTTGCTGGATGCAACATGCTGGAGTGTTATAGATCGCTGTTTCATTATCTCCTCAGACAGAGACAGAGGGAATTGCCTCCTGCTAAGTGGTCTCTTCCCAACATAACAAGACCTCAGGCACGTACACAGTGCACACTCAGAGCTTCTGACTGCATCACAGAGGTATGTGATCAAGACAAGGAGGAAAAAATACAGGAAAAAATAAGGATTTAGATATTGAAGCGAAGCCACCCTTTAATTGATGGGAAGAATGTGTAGGGCATGGAAAAAAATATATAGAAATCTTCAGTTACAGCTTCAGTTTCACCATGCTACAGTATGTGCTTTCATAATTTCAGAGCCCAGAGCTAAATTACCCCATTTTGACTGGAACTTGACATGGGGAGAGATTACCATAAGGATGCAATGGAACATCGCCCAGTGGTTTTCCTCCCCAACAACGTGTTAATGTTTCTGTGAATCGATTCAGACACCGCAGGCTCAGAGAAAATGACTGACATACAGTACGGAGTGAACTCTCCCCTGCTCTGTGAGTCAGAGATGGGCCGGCCCAGAGCCCGCTCAATGCGTCAGTCTAGTCTCTCAGTCCATCTGTCTGTCCATTCGCCTGTTAGTCTGTATTAACAGCTGTAACAGCTGTCTGGAAAGACGATGACGCTGAGGTGATAATCCGAAAAATCACCCATATGAGCAGAAGTGGGAACAACAGACAAAGTGTTAGTGGTATTGGTGGTGAATTGTGTGTGCAAGCAAGTGTGTGTTTAGACTCTGACTGTGAGAGCACAAGTGTGTGGGTGCAGCAGTGTGATCTGGGGGATAGAGAGAACACTGTTAGGGAGGGTTGGAGGGTCCCACTTTTATCACTGCCTCCGCCAGTTTCACATCAATTAGACAAGGCACAAAGCTATTCCTGCTTGTTGACTCAAAGACTTCCTGAAAAAACCTGGATGCATACTGTATATGTGTTCAAATGTAAGAGATGGGCTCTACCTGCATCTGTGGTGGTCAATGTTGAAGCTGCCAACTTTACATTTGATCTTTGTGTAAACATCCTGGACATCTACTGAGGCACTCAGATCTTCTAGTTCACTGATGACACAGATCTCTGGCAGAAACACACAAAAAAAGAAAATAGTTATTTTATATTCACATAAAGTCAATCACATTCATTAGGCTTTGTTACTGTGTATCGATCATTAGTTTGCAACACTGTGAATGTCAGGAGTTTCTCCCTCCGTTTTTGTTTTAGCATGCTGTATGGTCATCATTGTACTTGGCAGAAAGGCAAAAGAGCTGAACCCAGACTTCAATATAGGAAGTTTCATCTGTGTGTGTGAATTTCATTTCTGTGGGCAAAGACCTACACTGTAGCTAACCCTGTCCAGGTCTCGCCTTTGGTGCTGATCCAACTCCTGTGGTCAGTTCCTGCACGGCGGACACACAGTGTATTTGTAATGCTGGACCAGTGTTAGGCTGATTAAGGCTAGAGCCTATGTGAACACACACACCCGCAGACACACACATCACTGCCTGGCTGCCTAAGGAAGTCATACTGAAAATCGTGGGCAAGAAGGCAAAGCGTGATTAAGATATTGCTCAGCCTGTCATAATGAGGAGTTTCTGTGTGTGTGTTTACACAACACTGAATGTTCACGTAGACTTTTCTGTGTGTGTCTTCATGAAAATGTATGTGCGTGCCTCAGTGCACCTTGTGTGCAAACAAACCCACCCACTTCAGGCAAAGTGAGTAAGCTTCATAGAAGGACTGATTAACTTTGTATTGAACCGAGCCTGTGAGCTTAACTGTTGGTTCTCTCTCATTGTTTCCACAGAAAAAGTCCCACAATCACAGCTTGGGAAAATGGACTTCATGCATGTGAAACTATGGTTGTTGTTGTACTGATGCCTTGTGGTGATTCTGAGAAACACAGAGGTTCCTAATGACTTATTAAAAATGAAACACAAGGCATGTCAGCTTTATTGTGGATACTGTGTGGAAAGAACTCTCCCAAGTTGTTAGATACTCAGAAACTCATCGTCACCAAACATGGTGTTGATATTGATGTATGAGTTTTCTAAACCCACCCTGTAAGAGCACTGGAAACCCTTAGTCCCTTGGTCTTAAATGGTTCATCTTAAAAGGAGGAAAGTGTACCACTGATTTGTGCTTTTAGCAGAGCCTCTTGAGACTCATGTTGAAATTTCTACCTCTAATCTTCCAACACATAATAGCATAACATTATACCCAAGAACCAATACGCCTGGAATGGCTGTTTTTCCATTTCTCTGGAGAGACAAGAATCTTATTTCCTTTGCAGTTGAAAAACATATTACATCATTGCAGATTGTCTGCAGTCATATCTGTGGCTTACTTATCTCTGAGAATGTTAACTGTGATATTAGCAATCTAATATATTGCATACACACAATTCTTGTTTTCAATAACATGCTTAATGTGTTTCACTCAGAAAATCCAGTGGTAAGTTCATCTCGCAACTCAGATGGCAAAAATTAAGCCCAAATCCAAAGTAATGCCTATTTAGGATGTCTCTAAGTCAAACCATCTCTGTGAGGTCCTCCAAAACATTCCGTTTCCACTATTAAAGACCTTAAGCTGGGCGATCTGCTTGGCAGATGCTAAATATTACAGCCACCAATTAAAGGTAAATCTAGCCTTTCATCGCCCCAGTAAATCTAAAGGGGACAAGAGGCGGTTCGCTTGGGATTCATCATCCATTTATTTATTTGTCTTCTCCCTCCATTCCTCCTTCTCTCCAGCTGCATTTCCCTTCCGAGTGCTCAACATTTGAATGAGAAAAGAGGTGGGGGCTGATCACTTTAAGTGTTGATACAGCAGGATTGTAAGAACTCCGAATAGCTTCCTGCACCCTTTCACACTGCACACTGACGCACTTGCAATAAAAAATAGTCCCGTTTTACATATGAGAGTTTTCTCTATTGTCTTTAAACACAGATTAATCAGATCTCAATTTAGCAACAGATAATGATGTATTGTATATTCTGTCATTGCTCATGCTGTCTACCCAGTTGACATTCAATTATTCTACACTTCTGTTGCAGCTACCATGAACTTTATACAGAGACATACCACACATCAACAACAACAACAACAAAAAAAACACTATTGTGTATTATCAATCAGCAATAGAGATTTAGAAATGTACTGAAATTCACTGTATTTTTCAAAAAGATGTCAGGGTACCTGTCTTTTTGGCTGTTGGGTCAGGAGCAAACAGTTTTACTGTGACCTTGGGTAACATCCACTGCATCCAAAGGCTGACTTTCCCGCTGGTGCCACCAATGCTGCTAGTTTTCTGTTCCAGAGTCACTGTGTCAGCAAACGGACCATCGTCTCCAGCAGGCACAGAGTCCCCCTAGGGAGTCAAAACAGGATCTGTTCAATCAGGGCTTTTAAGAAGGTACAAGCCATGATTTCAGTCAATACTTGGAACTACCACATGAGCTTGAAGACTGTGACAGAATTCAAACATTGATAAAACATTTGAAAGTAATCTGTTCATCCAATTTTCTAACTGAAGAATAGAAAAGAGAAAGAGAAAAGAGAAATGTACTTTTGTTGTCAATGTCAAAGCCATTAACGAGTTAAATTTGAGTTATTAAGTTTGGATAGTCAGTCAAGAGTTGCAATAGTCAAACAGACCAAAAAAACAGGAAGAACATGAAAGAACATATGCAACAAATCAAGCAGCACGTTGCAGGGCTGAAAAATGAAGCCAACGCAGAAGTACCAAAAACTGCAGTTCCTCCAATAGCCATTTGAAGCTGACTCCAAGAGCAAGTTAATCCCCATAGACCTCCATGTTAAAATGCCCAACTTTACAGCCGAAATGAACGTTAACAGCCTGGTATGGCCACTTTAAGTGACCCCAGATTTATAGAGTATAAATGTAACTTTTTCTATTTGTGTTTTCAGTTGATGAAAAGTAATTGTCACATTTTGTTCACCTTAAAAAAGTCCTATAGAGAATGTAAATGCATTGTGCTAATCAAGCTGGCAGGAAGTGTTAGGGTTAGCTCCACCCTTTTGTCAAAATATTGTCATTTCTTATCAATTCTGGTTCCCAGAAACCAAGATGGTGACAGTTAAAATGCCAAACTCGAGGCTTCAAAACAGGACTCCGCAGACCAATGGGTGAAATCACGGTGGCTAAGTCCATTATTTTCTTACAGTCTATGGCACATATATAAAATTCAAATTAAAGCACGGATGTTTGTGTTGTAACTGTTAGTTTGTCTATTTGCTTGTATGTGTGTCCAACCATGTGTTCAGGGAATGCGTATGTTTGCAAGTGTTGTCGCTGTGCATGTAGCCATAACAAAGCAACCACCAGGCTTCGACCCTTTTGGTGTGTAGATGACATCAGTGTCTGGTGAGCAGAACTCCACTCTGAACTGAGCGATGTGAGGGGAAAAGGACTATTGTGCGGAGCTGTCACTGGTGTTAACCCCAAACTAAGCCACCAGCACCCACGTGGCCTGCTTTCACTCAAGTGCGCCAGGACACACACGTCTTGCAGCCTGGGAGAGAATGGGAAGTGAAGACCGGAGGCGGGGGTGGAGGTTGGGGGGGTGAGATGGAGAGGCAAGCAGGATGCGGCGGAGGAGGCCGCCTTCTGTGAGCTCTCATCTCATTACTGGAGGTTTGGCAAGGCACTATGGATGACAGCACTGGGGACATTTTTTTTTTGTCTCTCGTGCTCTTCCTGGTAAATCTGTTTTCCAAACATGTATCTGCGTGGCTGACTCGGAAAGTGAAAAGTCTGCAAACAAACAATATGGCAATTTGCAGCTCTGGCATTGCAGGGTTTCACTTTTTCCACAGCTTCTCCCATCGCGGCGTGGTAATGACAGATTGTGTCATGGTTATCGAGCCTGGCTGTGGTTGGTGAGGAGGTTATCAACCATCTCAATTAGATACCCCACAGCTGCTGGGCTGATTACAGTGTCTTAAAGAGAGTCCAGATGAGGAAACTATGTCCCTGTTCCGCAGTTGGGGGGAGGGATGAGGGCCCCATGCTAATTTGCAAATTTTATTTAATTGCGCAGTTTGAGAATTGCTGACAGCAGTGCTCAATAACAACGGATGACAAGAATATAAATACATTAAGGATTATACTAATTCAAAGATAGATGCAACATTACAGTGAATGGAGACCACTAGAAACTGATGAGAAGCATGTGTTCCACAGGAAGCATTAGCTCTCAGAAATAAGAAAAGTGAAAAGTATCTGTTTGGGCTTTTATTTGATAAGATTTTAAATCTATCAGATGAAAAATAAACAAAGCAATGCACTAGAAACACAAGCATGGGCTTGGCTAGGCTGGAGGACATTGAAAGCTCTGCAGGCAGTCCTATACTGGATCAAATATACAGACTACATACAGTACAGTATATAAAGCTTCATTATCCTCAAAATTATGAACTTAAATACTGAAACATATGACCAAAACTACCAGAAAAACAGCACTGAATTCTCCCAGAACTAGCATTAAGTCCAATCAAGTGTCTAGCAGTGTCATTATGTGTTTCCATGGAACCAAACAGTCAAGGTGTGAGTGTGTGTTTGTGTGTGGGTGTGTGTGTGTGCCTATGTGTGTGTAATAGCAGTGACTGGCAGTGAGTAATATGAGCCCAGTAGTAATGGTGTTCAGTCATTCTCAATGAGAGATATTCTAGTGTCAACTGCCATTTGGGGACTAATTATTGCTGAGCTGGAGTCAAAACACGGGACTGTGTGTGTGTGTGTGTGTGTGTGTGTGTGTGTGTGTGTGTGTGTGTGTGTGTGTGGTTAGGATTGTTTAGTTTACAGTTCTGGCCAGTCGGTAGGATTAGACTCTGTAATGTCATGTGTGGAAACAGGAGCCAGCCGCTGGCGCTGTGGGAAGCTCAGACCACTGTGTACTGTAGCGTGGTTACACTGGAGCATCGGACAGCCGACTGTTTCTGCTTCCCAGCCAGAACCGCTGCTGTCACTTAAAAACTCTCAGTCTCTTATAAGCTGATTTTACCAGGGTCAGTAAGAAAGAGAAATTATTAACAGATTGACATCTCTGCATTTTCTGGAATCACACAAACAGTTTTAAAACAATTTTTTGGACTTTCAATTGGGGGATCTTGCCAATTGTGAATAGCTTCAAATGAGAGAAAACCAATAAATCCCCAAACTGTTGTCGTGTCAAAATACAGAGGACCTGCATTTTGTAGAAAAACAAAACTAAGACCTTCAAGACATTTTGATGCATACCTGGAATTTGAGACCACCTGAAAAACCCAAATTAGGGGGAAAAAATAAAAAATATGCTACTTTCAATTGAGCATCTTAAAACAAAACATCCTATGATTGTAATTTTAAGATGAATGATCACACTGAATTCAAGGTCAGTGACATAACATGCACAGTTATGAGGGTTTTTTTAAAAGATGCTTTAAAGACGTTTTAAGGAAAAACACGAGTGCATGGTTACAACTGTAAAGCAAAAGTTGAGATCACTAATAATTTCCAAAAGGCCAAAGTTCATGTTTTTATGAGTGACAGAAAATTCCCTTCGCTCCTCTTACCAAGGTGAGGCCTTGAGGAACAGATGTGGTGGTGGTGGTGTGTTGGTAGAAGTGGGCTCTGCCACGTTCCTGAACTGCCAGACTGGGGCCCCAAACACACACACAGACCCATGCAACACACATTCTAAGAGGGAGCTACTTTCCCACACCTCCACAAGCCAAGTTGTAAAGTATACAGTTTAATTCCTGGGCCTCTGCGCTATAAACGGGCTGAGGATCCGGGTTTATTTTCTTTGCAGAGTTTGTCTTTGCTCATCAGAGAGACCCAAACATTGGAAGACAACAGCAGGCTGGAAAGTGTCGAAGAAAGATGGAGGGGAAAGGCAGATTATGAGATAAGAGTGGAAAAAGAGAATGGTTCAGGGACAGGTGGAAGGATGAAGAAAAGTTGGGGAGGTACAAAGGATGGGTTTAGTAATAGATAAAATGAAAAGATTAAATAAGGTAGGGGGAGAGAGGTGGGATGAAGCTGCAGATAGACATGAAGTAAAAGAGGGGAATAAGGGGTAAACAGGAGAGATAGAATAAGACATGGATGAAAGGATGGAGGGAAGAAAGACTGAACAGGAAGATAAATAATTACAGAAATAAAAATACAAAAATACAAAATAATTATAACCAAAACTTGACATGTGACAGGACCTGACAATTCCATCACATTCTGACATAAATTCTTTTTGTCCCCCTCCACTTAAAAATGTGTTAGAGAAGTGTTTCACATTCCCTTACTGAAGGGAGCGACAACTGTGCACATATTAAACATGATACTATTATTGGTATATGTAAGTATTAAAACATGTCTAAAGGGGGACTTTAATAATTTGTATTTTTGAATTTAATTTGAGAAATATTTGTTCTTTTGGGTTGCAGCTGCTGGTAGTCAGGATTTTGTCAGGTTAGAGAATAACTTTTTCCAGGTTATTGTCAGGTTCAAAATTTGGTGCATACGATCAGGTCCATTAGAGTCATGAAGGAAGCTTTTCCAGTTCAGACCGATTCATAAATATAAGTAAAATGTTTATGAAAATGTCACGAAATATTGTAACAACTCAGTAGCAGAGGTCAGATGAATGGTTGGGAAGGGGCTGTAGGGCCGGGGCTTTTGGGATGTGTGGTGTGGATGTAGTTGGAGTACTAGAGGACCAAGCAGGAGGGTGGGGAGCAGGGTTGAGACTGCTGCCACTACTGCTGAGACTTATCAAAACAGCTCCTACATTCTTGCTCAATCACCCAGCCTCCCAGAGGACTAAACACTTCTACCAGTGTTTGTACTTAGGTAAACAGTGACAAGTGGGCTGTCAGGGGCCTCTGTGGCCTTGTTACAGACCCACTATACCATAGGGCCTCCACTGCCATACTCCACCACTGCCACTTCTGTGGGTCCACAAATGACGCAAGAACACACACATGTTGATCACACGGAAACAAACGCAGACACAGATGCACATCGACATATGAAACACTTTTTTTTCACGTGTATGTTCTTAAACAGACACACTTTATTGCCTCTCAGGGCGGTATGATGGTTGTGCGGTGATCCCGAAGGGCCCCACATTGCTGACAGGGCTTTGGTGGTCAAAGAGCATTAAATCCTGGGCTAGCTGCCAGTGCTTAACAACACAAATACTCATCAACACCATAATTTTTATGCATCCTATGTTCCTACCTCGCACAAATATACACATCATATTACACAAGGCTCTAGTGGCTAAGGCCCCAAGGCCATGGACCCTTAGCTAGTCACTGTTGCTGCTACTGTACTAGAAAGAAGAAAAAACTCCTGCCACATAATCGAAGCCAAGGACAAGCATCACCTAGGGACGAAAGGAAAAATAACACTCAACATTTGTTGTTTCCCCCCTAAAAAACCCTGACTGTAAGTTTTCCATTGGCTTCGCACATGCCTGCACGCACTGCTACACTTCATACTTCATTCTCTGGGTTTGATATTTTATCTGAGCGAAAAATGTAAATACAGGTTATTGTTTTCCCTAAATTAAAAGGCAGGTTTATACTCAATCAAGCCCTAGCTTACACGAATCAAACAGAGCTCACAGCCTATCTGGAGTATCTGTTCTGGGTAAGAAAAAAAATATGTAAGAAACACAAGCACTGATGAGATTTTTCCAGCCATGAAAATCCTTCCTAAACAAAACAGATTTTTTCAGACAAATATCATGTGTTAGCACTGACTCAACTACTCATAACAATAAAAAATACAGTATTTTCACCTCAATCAGACATCAGCGGCAGAATTATGTACACAACAAAGGCTTAAATAGCATGTGTTATTGCATGAGTCATAGCAACTTTGATTTCAAAGAAAAACTTATAGTTGGGTGTTGGCAGGGTGTAGTCATTAGGCTTCTTATTAATCAAGTAGCACCACATGGGATGCTAGAAAAGCAGTATATAAGTAATAAGTATGCACATGAATGAATGGACGAAATACTGAACCATTTAACTTCAATGTAGTAAATTAAGTCCTGTTACATGATGTACCATAGCAAGTTTTTTTTCTGATTATAAGTGATTTATGACATCAGGCACGGATGCTTCCAGTCGCCTCTCTTTTAGCTCTGCTAAATTTGTGCTAAATCTTAGACTCTTATGCTTATTTTGCAAGTGTTGATGGTGATTTTTGTGGTTGGCTTTGAATGGTGATGGCATGCCGCCCAGAGTCACTCATTAGGATGTGGAAATCAACACACCAGTCTTTAAACTCTCCTTCCACCAACTTCTAGCTAGGTAGCTGACCAGAATGAGGTTTTCAAATGTAAACATCAAGAAAAAGGGGACCAGCCAAAGTAGCATCCTGGTAGCCATTGTGTAGGCGTCGGGAAATAAACTGAACAACCTCCGTACTGCATCTGTTTCCTCCAGAATATCAAGAACTGTAATAGCCTTTGATCTACTGACACTTTGCTAAATGCTGGACAGCGCCATTCAATCAGGAGGCTCTTTTTCTATATGTCAGTCTGACAGAGCAGAGGACTCTGGTGAAAGAAGCAGAGGAGACGTGTGCTTTACAGTGAATAAGGACTGGTGTTATGGTGGGAATGTGAGGTGCTGTCCTGTTCCTGCTGTGGATCACAGCTATACACCACGCAGAACTGGTCGCAGAGCAGAGTCACTGCCTGAGTTCAGAAGGAGTGACTATACAGCTGTCGAGGTCTGGATGTGTGGACAGTTAAATCATTTCACAACCAGAAACCATGGATTACCAGAACTATCCGGAAACACGGACAATAATAAAGCAGCAGCCAACAATGTACAAAGATGCAAAGGACTATTACAAGGAAAAGGAGCTGATGGGATCACATTTTACTGGAATTGTACCTTGTGTAATCCCAGGTGACAAATAAATGATTGATGTCACAAAATACAACTTAGATGTGCTGATCCATGAGATTAGACTGATGTGTAGCTGGGTGAGAAAAACAAACCTCAGTGGGGGAGCCAAAATCTGCAGACGGGCTGCAGGTGCTGGTGTCTGGTAGGGCAGTGCCAGCACTACTGCGCACTGGGGATGATGGGGCAGCACCAGCAGGGGGTTCTGGAATGCTAGAGGTCTGACGCAGGATGCCGTGCCTCTGGAGACGAGCCCACGTAGAGCTCCAGTTGAGGAGGAGCTCGTACAATAGCTGAACCTGGTGAGTGACAGGAGCGGAGAAGAAAAGGAAAACAGAGAACTTTAAGTTGGAACGCTAGATATAGTATTTCACACTGATTGGGATAAAATATGATGTAATGCAGTCTAATGTAAGGAAAAACTATGATGCAGGATTCTCATGTCAGTCAATTTATTTCTGTCTTATATGAAAACATGTTTATATAGAAAGCTCCTACCCATGACACACACAGATGCTGATTTGTGTGCAAAAACTGACCACGGCAACAGCTGAATACACTCTCTATACATGAAGTCTACTGTGCCAAGTGAGTGCCTTATAAGATAGACCTAACACACCACAAGTAGTCTTAATATTTGAAACCGGATTCAAATGTATTTTTGCCAAGGTCTGACTCAAACAGCTGCACTGGGGAGTTCTCATGTAGTTTTTACTTCTGCGGCCATTAGCATGATTTGGCTTGGCAGCTTTGTAGTTATGTGACACTAAACCTAGTTAAAGTTGAGAGAGAAGGAAAGAGAGAAGGAGGAAATATTAGCCAGAAATGGACCACTATCCAGTCCCATTTCTTTCACTCTCCAACTTAACACTATTTTAGACTTTGTACTTGTCATTGAATGAGGCCTCATTTTACAAAAGTGATGTAAAACCTATGTCTTCATGCTTCTACTCGATGGGTGACTATTTGCAAGGCACAGCATGCTCTTACACGTGCCTCACTGTACAAATTTGTTATCCATAACAACAAAACTCCCAAAGAAACACCCACAGAGGAAAGTTGAGTTGTGTCATCAATTTCCCCTGAAAAACTCACCACGGTTAGGAAAAACTGAAGGCCCGGCGTCAAGTGTTCTCAACTATTTATCATGTGTTCACATGAAAAGAGGCCTTAGCTTTAAACAACAACAAAGCCAAAAACAAGAGTGGAAAACATGAGGAGAAGGCAGGGGAATGTGATGTGATGCTTTCAGTTATTCATGCATTCACTCAGTGTTCTTTAGAGGAGAGAGAGGGAGAGCAAGGGAGAAAAGCGACGCTCTTTCACAGTGAGCTAATTTCTGGATTTCAAATGTTTCGCTTCTGCAGCCAACTGAGCCCCCCCCCCCCCCCCCCCCCCCCCCCCCCCCCCCCCCCCCCCTCCCCCCCCCCCACCACTGAGGGTCCCTCAAAAGTAAAGGTGCACAGACACATGAGCACACACAAAATAGCTTTCTCTACTCCAAACATATTTTTACTCACTACTGCTCACTCACACACATGCATGCCTGTTAGCGCACACATTACAGGGAGGCCTTCCATAAATAAGCATAAATCAAATGAAAAGCAGCACAATACGTTACAGCTGGGCCATTTCAAACATGTCCAGGAAGAGCTGCTAACGCCGATCCAGCAGCCGTCCAGGGACAGGGCCAACAGCTGTCTGCCATACCCAACCGAACTGCTCTGCCGTCAGGAGAGGTACGGCTCCACACTCTCTTCTTTGAGAGTCTGGGGCCTGGAAGTCCAACCAAGCACAACAAGGCCTACTGCACTCAGCAGCAGATGTGGAGGAAGTAAAGAATGCAGAATAAAGGAGAGAAGGGAAGGGGTGAGATGAAGCGTCATTACATGACCTCTGTTTTAGCAGAGTCTAGGGTTTAGTCCCTTCTGTCCTTAATCTCTGTTGTTGCTCTCTTATCCTCTCTGCCATTTGCTCCACCCTATATCTACAGTCTGTTCATGAAAGTGGAAAGTCGGGTAAGTTGGTTCAGCTCAGCTACTGCTGTTGGGCCAGTGGGCAGGTTGGACCCCACAAACATACACACACATGCACACACACACTTGCATGCTTACATGAGCTCACAATACATATGCCACATTTCATGAGCTGGGGAAGTGAGCAGAACATTTGGAGGGCTGGGTTCTCCAAAGACCTGTCATCTGCAGATCAGGAGGTCTGCTCGGCTGCAGTAGTACAAACTGGAGACTGAACAGAGGCTTCCACAGTCATTCATAAAAACACACAGATGAAAGACGGGAGAGCATGCAGATGGTGAGTGTTCGTGTTCCTTTATCTTTGCACAGTTTATATAGAAACTTCACAAAAGTGACATATTGTTGTGTATGTGTAGTAGCCGAGAGTGAACATGTGTATGGATATATGAGAGTGCGTGTGTGTGTGTCTGCATGTGTTCACAGTTATGTGTCAGAGGTCAAAGCAAACGGTGGTGGTGGTGGTGTGTGCTGATTCAAGGTGGTCCTGATAAGGTAAACGTGTAGCTAGTAACCACATCCTTCTGACACCAACATGAATCATTCACACAGACACTAAAACTCAGATTGAAGACAACACATTCAAATTTCAAAAACACTAACCTCACTTCCTATTGTACCTTAGCAGCCATTGCACCCCTAATATTTTCAGAAAATCTATTCAGAAACATGTCTATTCGTGTGTATGGTCACTTTCATGGAGTACACAAATGGCAACGCTTCTCATGCTCTTAAACAAAATCATGACACTTGTGGCTACATGTAAAAATGTTAAATATAGTTTAAAAAAAGAATAAGATCCAAGGCTCGACTTTTGCACCCCCAGTTTCTAAAAATATCTTTGTTTGTGCCATGAAGTAATCCTCTGCATATTATGGAAAATCTGATTTAATGTCACAAAAATGTAGCTCCAATGCCAGGAGAAGTTAAGAGGCCAAACTCTTTGGTTTTATTTGTTGACTTTAAATGTATTAAGGTCTCAAAATGAGTGTGATAATAATTGATTAGCAAATGCCAGATGTTACTCTGCCACCCAAACTCCTCCAATTCCTCCGGCACACCCGTCACAATGTTCTCATCTAACTGTGTTGGTGGGGCTTATTGTGTAGCAACTGTGCAGGACTCTGACATCCCCATATACATTCCCACAAATGGAAATACTAATTAGAAAGAAGAGTAAGTAGTGTGAGGTCTCTTTTGTTCTAGAGAGGGTGGGGTTGCTCTGGCAGCACTTCTTAAAGAGCTGCTACATGACTTGAAATGGTACAGAATGAGCTTATAACCCCCCTCGAGTCAGAAATTTACACAGAAGAGTGAGAGAAGGAGAGAGGAGGTGAACAGATGGGAAGAGAGAGCAGAGGGATTGCGATGAAAGAGAAGAGAAGAGAAGTTTTCATTGGACCCGAAAACTAATAATGACTCATCATATAATCGCAATAAGCCTTCCCAGCTTTGCCAGACACAGGCTCTCCATTTGAAAAGGGAGAGCAGAGAAGAAGAAAGAAAAGAAACTTTCCCTCAATAAACGACCAGCTCTCCTCATCTCTGGGAAAGTTTTCACCACGAACAGATTAAGGCCTTTCATTTGTTTCTGGTACCAATTCGCCTCAATATCACCATGGCTCATCACTGTGGTCAGAGACATTTAGCAGTGTGACCACTCAAAAGGTCGCCCCAATTAAGTGTTTACAGAGGAACCAAATTCAATACAGCTAATTCAATTGCGAAAAAACAAAACATGTGTAATGGTACATGTAGATGTGATTATAGCACTGTAACAGTGCAGTGAAAAACAACACAGAGACCTAACTGGGAGAACAAAATGTTCCGTTTCCAATCTGTCCATATTAATCATGCTCTCACTAAAACATAGTAACACGCTGTAAAACAATGATGATGAGTCTTGTGCTCCCCCACTGTCCTTCACTTAGACCTCAACATATTTGACCAAAGCAAACAAGGCAACACTCTCTTGTTTATGCTTCCACTCTCATGAAAATTATTCTAGGTAAGAAGATGAGGCAGTTTGTTTATTGGAGTCAATCTATATAAGAGAAACATGCACAAGCAGGATCATCCTGCCAGTGTTTGTGTGTTCATATTTCAGGAAAGTTTACAAGGGGATGATTTGTATAAATATACATGTAAATCTGATGACTACTTTGTAAGATGCAGGACTGTATAACTGACCTGAGGGTTGGAGCACTTGACGTGGACGGGCTGCAGATCAACATGGAGGCAGACTACAAAGGAGTGTCTTCCTTCAGAACAGCTCTGCAGCTTATGGGATGTGACGGCCAGTGTGGAGGTGCAGCCCATAGGCTCCAACAGGCTCAGGCTTCGCTGCTGTCCCAGTAATGTGTACACGCTGAACTGACTCAGGCTTACTGTCCAGGGGAAGGCATCACCTGGTGGTAGACATGGGAGAGGGGGAAACAAGGATACACAAATAATGTGGGAAAGGGATGTAACAGTAGGAGAAAGAGGATAAAAATTGCAACACAGAGTCATTGGCAGAGATTGAGAGGAGCAGGGAGGATGAGAGAGACGTCATGTGAGGGGAGAGCAAAGAGGACAAGCCAAGTCATTGTGAAATTGAGAGGAAGGCAAAGAGAGATGCAAGAAAATGCAGACCAGATTTGGAAAAAGAAGGACAAAAAGTGCAATGGATTAAAATATCAAAAGGATAGTCAGCAATGTTCATTATCAAAAACACTATGACAACTAGATTATTCCTTTCACTTCCCCTTAAAATTAAAGCCAATTACAGTACATGAGGGGAGAAAGCTTCATGGAAAACATTAAAGATGCACTAAGGAGTAGTATCCTGATTCAAAGGTTCTGCAGCCAATAAGCAGGAAGAGGATCCCATCAAAACGCACTGTAAAATAAGCTGGTCTATTCTAAATCTGTGGGTCTGAGACAGGATGCCACACTGGGAGAGCTGGAGTTTGTTATCCTGCCAACCCTGGTAAAACAATCGTACAGAGAAGGGGAACTTGTTCACTAGCACAGGGCCATGAAGAGCACATTTCCCATGCACCGTGGGCAGGACGCTTTGATCCAGAGCATTGAAAATGAGAGATGAAGAGCTTTTCAAAGGGTAGGAATGAATTACTAAAAGCAAGGGTTGTTAATTTTTACGGCAACATTGACAAGGCTGCTGATGTCACTGTTTTTGCTGTCGTTTTTCTTTCTCCTCCGTTTTTGAAATCTGAATGCCCAATGTTGATGTCATTGAAGAGTTGGGAGAAAAAAAAACGAGG